TTTTTTTTTTTTGATACTGGGGATCAAACTCAGGACCCTGCACTTGCCATGCAGATGCGGTGCCACTGAGCTACACCTTCAGCCCAGGCCTTCCTCCTCTGTACCCGACTACTCTGAATGCTCTGCTCCAATGCAATTTACAACTCAGCAAGGGAGGGGCGTGGGCAGAGGAACAGCATGCTCGAAGTCCCTGGCTGTAAACTGATCTCTAACCCACCTACTCTCCTGCAGCTAACCACCCACGCCCAGGTGACCTCTGCCCACCCTCAAAGGAAGGGGATGCATCAGGTCCTAGGGCCACCAATGACCTGGTTCTGCGCAGGGCACGGCACCAGCAGCTGTCGGGGGACCCAGCAGTAGAGAAGCGGCCTTCTCGAACTGGGGGCAAAGTCATCAAGTCAGCCTCAGCCACTGCCCTGTCTGTCATGATTCCTGCAGGTAAAGCTGGGCTGGGACCATCAGGGGACAGAGTGCTTGCTTTTGAGCCAGGACAGAAGAATGAAAATACATTTTCCCTGTCCACAGTGATTGAGTCTAGGATGGACGAATGATTTCACAGAGGAGGGGCTGTCAGTGAAAATACTGCATTTTCCCTGTCCACAGTGAACGATTCCAGGAGGGATCAATAAGAATCTGCTCTGGGACTTTCACTTGGGAGGAGGGAGGAGCAGATATTGGAGCAATAAGTCTGGTTGGTCCTGACATCTGACCATGGTTCTTTGTCCACAGTGGACCCACATGGAAGTTCACCCCTTGCTAGTCCCATGTCCCCACGATCTCTGTCCTCCAATCCCTCCTCACGGGACTCCTCACCCAGCCGGGACTACTCCCCAGCTGTCAGTGGACTCCGCTCCCCCATCACCATCCAACGATCAGGCAAGAAGTATGGCTTCACCCTTCGAGCCATTCGAGTCTACATGGGTGACTCTGACGTCTACAGCGTCCACCACATCGTTTGGGTGAGTGCTTCTGGGTGGGGTCTGTATCGAAGGGTGAGGAGTAGACAAGTACCCAGGGATGAGTTGTAGTTCAAGTTCTGAAGCTACACGGTCTGGGTGAAATTCTTTCCTGACTCCCTCTTTCACCTACCTCCCCAACATTCAGTTTCTTCATCTATAAAATGGGAAGAAAAATAACTTTTGTGAAGTGTCATGAAGACTATAGTGCATGCAAAGCCAGGTGTGTGACACATAAGCTTATTGCCAATCTTGCTACCCTTGTCCCCAGCACGTGGAGGAAGGGGGACCTGCCCAAGAAGCAGGGCTCTGTGCAGGGGACCTCATCACTCATGTGAATGGGGAGCCTGTGCATGGCATGGTGCATCCTGAGGTTGTGGAGCTGATCCTTAAGGTGAGAACAGGGACGGTGCATGGGGTAGAAGGTGGCCAGGTTCTGAGCAGCCCCCTGCAAAGCATTCCTTCCTTCTTCCCCTAGAGTGGCAACAAGGTGGCCGTGACCACCACACCTTTTGAAAATACTTCCATCCGCATTGGCCCTGCAAGGCGTAGCAGTTACAAAGCCAAAATGGCAAGGCGGAACAAGAGGCCCTCTGCCAAGGAAGGCCAGGAGAGGTAGGCAGGGTCCCAGGTAGTCCAAGCTAAAAGCAGTGGGTGTGGCCAAGATGGCAGGAACCCAGGGGAGGACAACAGTGGGACACTGCCACTGGCACCAATGAGGAGCTGGAAAAGTGCAACAAGTCAAGACAGGAAGCTATGCCCAACTTCTAAACCAGGCAGAAAGCATTGTGGGCCATAGACGTGGGGTTGTGGGAGGAGGGAGTCCAGTCCCAGGTTCTGCCCTGTTAGATGTATCTGGAAGCCTGGGAGGGGCTAGCCTAAGAGATCTCTGTCAGAAATGAGTGTGCTAGGAAAACTATGCCAAATGAAGTAGTCACACTTGCTTAAGGACAGCATGCTTTCTGGTACGTGTGCTACTATATTTCCTGCTTGTTCGATCATAGATTGACTTTTTACACCTTAGACCTGACACCACTAGGTGACACACACATGGGGTTATTGTGGTATGCGTGGCCTTTCTTGAGCTAAATGTCTGTGAGCTGCATGGCTGTAATTTCTTTCCTTATTTTTATTTATTTTGGGGGGGTATCAGGGATCAAATGAGGGTCTTTGCGCTTGCAAGGCAGGCAGCAGCACCACTAAGCTAAATCCCTGCCCCTTTCTTTCCTTATTGATTGCAGGAGCTAGAAGAGGCAGGTGTGACCTAAAGGGCTTTGGTTTTATATATCGCTGTTCAGTGCTAGGGGTGAAACCCAGAGCCTCTTGCATGTGAGGCAAGCAGTCAACCACTAAATTACACCCCAGCTCTCAAGTGTCTTGATCAGTGGGTTTGGCCTGGACATCAACTGGAGATCTGAATATGAGCCAGATAAAATTGTCAAACGACTTAACCCTAAGAAGTAGATTGCAGTGGAAGGAGAGGCTAGGGATGTGGACGGGGCCAGAGGGAATTGCTTTTATTTGGATTGATGCTTCTAGGCTGAACTAAGCATTTCCAGAACGGATGGGAGGAGCAAAGAGGACTGGGCCCAGAGAAGTTCTTTCTGCCTTGGCTGAAAAATTGTACCTAAATTGGGTGTGGTAGAGAGCAAAGAGCTGGGCCCAGAGAAGTTCTTTCTGCCTTGGCTGAAAAATTGTACCTAAATTGGGTGTGGTAGTGATGTCTGTCATCCCAGCATTGGGGATGCTGAGGCAGGAGGATCATCATGAGTTCAAGACAACCTGAACTACATAGCAAGACCCTGTCTCAAAGAAAAGAAAAGATTGTAGCTAAAAGGGGTGGGCTAGCTTGCCGCCCAAAAATGGGAGGAGCCAGGAGCTCTGGAATCTGGTCAAGGGTAGGTGGCCATCTTTCCCTGTCTCCCAGTAAGAAGCGTAGCTCCCTCTTCCGGAAGATCACAAAGCAGTCGAACCTGCTGCACACAAGCCGCTCTCTGTCGTCACTGAACCGCTCGTTGTCGTCCAGCGACAGCCTTCCAGGCTCCCCCACGCACGGGCTGCCCGCGCGCTCACCCACACACAGTTACCGCTCCACGCCGGACTCTGCCTACCTAGGTAGCTCTGCATGGGGCACTGCGTGGCGCGGGGTGACGATGCCTGAGGACCTCTCTGAACCGTGCGATCCCTCTGGCCCGCAGGTGCCTCATCTCAGAGCAGCTCGCCTGCCTCAAGCACTCCCAACTCGCCAGCGTCGTCTGCGTCGCACCATATCCGGCCCAGTACGCTGCATGGGCTGTCTCCCAAACTGCACCGCCAGTACCGCTCTGCACGCTGCAAGTCGGCTGGCAACATCCCGCTGTCACCTCTGGCACACACCCCGTCCCCTACGCAGGCGTCACCGCCCCCGCTGCCGGGCCACACGGTGGGCAGCTCGCACACCACGCAGAGCTTCCCAGCCAAGCTACACTCGTCGCCGCCCGTGGTGCGCCCGCGCCCCAAGAGCGCTGAGCCTCCGCGCTCGCCTCTGCTCAAGCGCGTACAGTCAGCGGAGAAGCTGGGCGCCTCTCTGAGCGCCGACAAGAAGGGCGCTCTACGCAAGCACAGCCTGGAGGTGGGCCACCCCGACTTCCGCAAGGATTTCCACGGCGAGCTGGCTCTGCACAGCCTAGCAGAGTCTGACGGCGAGACCCCGCCCACCGAGGGTCCAGGCTCCACGCGGCAGGTCGCCATGCGCCGCCTGGGCCGCCAGGAGTCGCCC